AATATAGAATTCCAAAGTGCAATTTTAAGGTAAGCACAAGGAAGTATTTCTTTGCCCAGAGGGTAATTAATGACTGGAATAGGGTTCCAGGAAGGGTGGTTGAGCCCAGGACATTGGATTCATTCGTGGATGCTATGATGGGAACACGGTAAGGTGGGTATTCTGGAAGATAAGGTCAAAAGGGCCTTCTTCATCCAAATTAATCTTGTGAAGTTTAGTTCTTCAAATAACTTTTAAAATTCCCACAATTTTGTATCACAATTTTTTTTAAAAAAATGTATTGATACACTTTTGTGCTGGATGGCAGATTTTCATCTACTTCCACCTAAGTACAGCATTACCAAAGACTAAATAATGAATAGACTCTGATTACATTGCCTGTTTGACAAACTCAGTAAGGAAGCAATCCTACCTCTATGGACATTCACTCTGTTTTTCCAATTATCAAGAGATTGAGTGATTTTCCAGTTAATGTTTGGGGAACCAAATTTCTGACGTGTACAGATCATTCAGAGATTATGATTCAGTGTGTTAGATCATACTGCCCTTTTGAGAAAAATAAACCAAAAGCTGTCAGTTGCATAACATGAGCAAATTATAGCACAGTGACGAAAGATCAGTGCCTGACAAGCCCCTGATTATATAAATGCACTTGAATTTATTATTTTTTAAAAAGGCATTTAAACAATTACGTCATTTTGCTCTAGATTTTCATTAAAAAGAAAAGAGAATCTGAACTTGTGTGGCAAAAGATCCAAAATGGCAAAATAATAAACACTTTAACAAAAACAATAAGAAGTCACAAAGTCAGGAGCCATTAGATGGCAAAATAAAATTAAAACCACTCCTATTCTTTGCAATCTATACTCTGTGCTCACCCTTATGGCTTCCTGGAAGTGAAGACTATTGAACGCAAGCCAGTATCAACAAAAACTGTTGCATAAATACCTATTAAGGAACTTAAAGCCCATTTAAAGCAGGAGCTAAAACATTTTTATCTTGCGCAAGTGAAATTACTCAACCGGCATGCAAGTACTGCTCTTTCCTAACATTTTAAATGCAACATCTTCCCTCGCCACTGCAGCATTGTGTTTTTTATTGAAAGACAACATATCTGGGCACATTCCGCAGTATTGGTTTCCATCTATCACAACCATTAACAACTTATAAGAGGCATAACAGTTTATGGAATACAATATTACTAAATTTGTTTCTTTTTATTGGTCTAACCCTTAGACCCACTTGCAGATCTCATCCCACAGAACAGGTTTTGTAAGTCTCCAGCTCACCCATTAATTAACCCATGTTAATAGCACTATGATATTATAACAATAAAGCAACTAAAATGTTAGGATTGGGTTTATTATCATAATACTCCTAACCTACTAAGATAAGCATTTAAAATGCGAAGTTGCTAAAAATGTGAAAACATTCATTCCAATTTTTCATCCCTTTTCACCTTGTTTTCAATTCCCTTTCAGTTATTTTAAATTCTTATTTTACTTGTTTCTGCTTAATCAATCTACACTTTTTATACTTTATGATTCTTAACAAAAAAGGGGAATATAAGTCAATATCGAGTATGACTAGACTAGTATAGCACATAGGGAGCTAAAATAGAGATACTTTAGTTATTTGTTTCAAATAGGGAATCCCAGTGAACCCACTCCAGATTAATGGATTGAAATCTTCACTCTGGTGGCTGTCAAATTCCTGCATGAAGTGAAATCAGTCAATCTAATCTCAGTTTCTAAGGTTTCAGTGCACAGCGCAAAACCTGCGGTGACACTCAGAACAATTGGAAGATTAGGACAGTGTGGGAGTGAACAGTTCATGTTGGCGCAATGTTGTCTGGACAATAGAGTCAGGGATGTATTTAAGACAGTAAAAGGAGCAGCTACATTTCACTCTAATTGAAATTGAGATTCTAAAGCAAAAATATGTTCCAATCCCCAAAGTGATATTCCTCATATTAATAAGAAAAAGATAAGCCAATATCTACCCTCTCACAGCACTACAGTTCGTGTTTTATCATTAAATTAAAACTATGATTTTGATATGCTGACTCTTCTTATTGAGCCAGTCAGAAATCCAAATGGCCAATTTATATACTGTCTTTCACATTGGGAAGCTATCCCAAGGCACTGGACAGTCCAGGGCTGGCACCCAAATTTTGGGGTGGAAGCCGAAGAGATGGGTAGAGGTAGTGGTGGGTAAGGAAGTTGACCAAAGGCCTGGTCAAAGAGAAAGGCTGCTTAATTTAATTTAATGCAATTGGCTGCCGCATTTCACCCACAAATGTACAGTCAATTCACTTTACAGTCTATTCTGTGAAGTGCTTTGAGAGATCTAGAAGACGTGAAAAGCGCTATATCAAATGCAAGGATTATTATTATTATTAAGGCGACTGTGAAAGAGACGAAGGAAGAGGCAAGTCATAGGAACTCAGGGATAGAGTTCCAAAGAGTGGGGGCCGATAGACTGAAAGCTCGACTGTCGATGGTGGGGCAGGTAGGACGGGGAAAGTGAAGCAGACCGGTGTCCACTGAGCGGAGAGAACGAGTAGGTTGTAAGATTTGAGAAGATCACAGAGCTTGGGTGGGGCAAGACAATGGAAAGATTTAAAGCTTAAACATTTCTAGATGGTTATATTTGAGCCTCAAAGTCGGATGATAGCATTATTGCAATTCGAAAAACATAGACATGGATTGTAACATTTACTGAACAAATTACCAAAAGGCACATGTTTAACATTTGGCCTCAATCCACTGCTCTAAATATTAATAATATGTAAACTACTTTCGAACATTCTTTTCTCAGTTTTTATCAAAATTGCTTGAATTCCCTTCTGATAGCACGGTTGTAATTGTAATATCTGCTCTCATGCCAAGGATTTTTCTGTGGCAACTATGAACAATTTGTACCGAAGGTGGAACTGCAACAGGGACACAATTGAAGGTTCAAGATATGCTCTGAGGTTGTGGGAAATGAGGGTCACCTTTGAAGCCTTTTTTCAGTTAAAAATAAAGTTGAACCTCAATTAGAACACAAGTGGGTAGAAGTTCCAAATGGACATGAAGTGAGCGACCAATTTTATCTGAGGGACTGTTGACGAGGAGAAACTCCCTTTTTTGAATAGTGCCATGGGATATTTAACGTCTACCTGAAAAGCAGGTGGGATCTCAATTTAACATCTCATTGAAGGACAGTACTTTCAACAATGCAGTGCTCCCCTAACATTGTACTGCATTATCAGGCTGGACTGCACGTTTTTAACTAAATTCAAGGTTGAACATCAGATATTGTTCATGTGCCTGAGACTACTTAAATTAAATGTATTGGTAACAGATTTCAATAGGACTTTTTGCCAAAGGGAAAAGTTAATTGGACAAAAGAGAGAGATACTCTAGGGATGGAGTTAGCTGGCTTCATCTTGAGGATCCTTCTTCTTGACTCTAAACAAGGACACTTACTGTTCACATTTCCCAGTTTCACGTAGAAGAGCAACTCTTATGTTGGATCTTAATTTTCAGTGACAGTACATTTAGATTTTGTTTTCCACTATAATTGAAGTGGGTGAAAAATACACCCCAATTCCAGACCCTTGAGGAGCGGAGGGAAGATTGTAGAGACAGACAGAACTCACATTGAATGAGACTGTAACTTGACGTGCAGACTTGAGTTTATAAAATCTTTGAAAAAAATTGCCACTGGGATAGCTCAAGCAAAAGAAAATATTAGCTGTTGGGGAGTTAACCAAAGCAAGTAAAATCATTTACATTTCCTACTTGAGAAAAACAGCCCCCAAGAGGCAATTTTTAGCACACAATGCTAAATAACAACAAACACTATGCCAATACAAGAGCCAGCGGATGACACCTGTAGTACACACTAGAATTTTGGTCACCGCCACATAAAGTGACTGACTTAAGTCCTTTAGGTAGTGAAAATAACAACAAGGCTCACCCACAATATTAGCTTTAACGACAAGATAAGATAAAGCACTTCAGGGTGGAATCTGAGAGAAATAAATAAGACCGTTAAGGGAACAGGGTAAATAGAACTAGAACAATACTTTCAGATTTGCCAAGGCAACACAAGAGGGCATAGGTTCAGGTGTGTGATGCCACACACTGCGGATACCAGAAAGTATTTCTTTACACTGCGCATAATCAACAGCTGAAGGGGGCTATTTAAGAAACACTTGATTCTGTAATGGATAGAAGCTAGTTTGGGTATTCTGGAAGGGTGATATTAAAAGACCCAAAGAGCCTTCTAAATCCAAGCATCCTTTCCACCTTGAAGATTCAAGAAGACAATAAAAACTGTAGTCCCATAAAAAGGTAGGAAGTGGGGGAGAGAAGGAGCGGGTGGAGGAGAGAGGGAGTGGGAGGGGGAGAGAGGGAGGGATGGAGGGGGAGAGAGGGAGGGAGGGAGGAGAGAGGGAGGGAGGGAGGGAGGGAGGAGAGAGGCAGGGAGGGAGGGAGGAGAGAAGGAGAACAGAAAGAGAAGCGTTTTCATATGCCCAATTACTTGAGTAATACTGCCTGTTGTGTGCAAGGAGCAAATTTTAAAGAATCAATGCCCTGAGATTTGTTTTAGAAGCAGCTCTGTCATGCTGTATAATATAAAGGCAGTATACATTTCATTTAAGACTCCCACTTTTACAAGTCAAAATGTCATACATTAAACGTATAAATCATCAACAATACACTTACATCTTGAAATATACATTTCCAAAGCAATAGTATACATATCAAGAAAATGGGGCAAAAAAAGTAATATTACCTGCCCCAGGGAATGGTAGCAGTTTATATAAAAGAATTTATGCAAGCAAACAAGCAGACATCTATTAACATGCACCTGGAGACTAATTAATAAAGAAACCTTAAGTCTTAAAATGCCAGTGTAGGAAGGTAAAATCACTAATAATGTAATGTTATCACTAGCAGACTGTTTTTTAATATAAACATTTAAATAGAGGAGTACGGCTGTCTCACCAGAGCTGTCATTTTCAATCTAGTTGGCCCATGAGATTCAGAGTTCAGTGTCGTTTCTGTCACTGTGTCTGTCAGTACAGAGGACTCATTAAAAATACCCTAAGGAATGAAGAAAGCAACTTTACATGAAAAATAATTCAAAACTTATCATTTAAAACTTAAAAATGTATCATCAAATCTTTAAAGGGTTTTGGTGAGAAGAGCCAGTCTGTCATGTCTGTAATATTTTTAGTGACTATATTCACTGAAGGGAAACCGAATCAACAGTTGATATTATGCACTTCTCACCATCGTATGTGTGGAGCAGGACATAACATTCAAAATTCCTCATTAAAACATGCAGCAAGTATCTGATTTCACAAAAGGGCAGGAAATCAACTGACTGTGATCCCAAGTATTAAACGTGTGTTGCCAATTCTACAGTGGGAATTCTCTAAACCCCAACAACCAACAACAATTTGCATTTATATGGCGTCCTTCCCATAGGGTAATGTCAGGAGCGCTGTATAGGGACCAGTTGGATGCCAAGCAAGGGAGAGGGGATAGTTAACAAACAGACTCATTAAAATAAATCAGTAGCCCAAGCTAATCATAAATCATCAACAATAATATATTCATATATTTAAAAAAGTAACATCTTTAGTCCATTTTAATTAAATTGCAAATCAAGAATGTTTGCTTGACCTCAGTTTGATGATACATTTTTTTGGCAGTAGCATAACTAGTGAAAAATGTACTGTTGCGATTCTATGACACTAAAATCTTGTGCTCTGTTCTGTTTATAAAGTGACAATGAGGATGAAAACAACCAGGCATTAGAACAGACAGCATATAATTAATACCTTAAAAAAACACACAAGCATCAATATCTCCTTTGGAATCCAAATCTCTGCATTAATCAGTTTGTATTATTTAAGCAATATAATTTAAGTCCTATATTGCTAAAATCTTATTGAAGGTGGCATTATCAATGCCCGTGTATTTTTCCAATATTCAAACGTGTTCTTTGGAATTTGTTATCCCAGCAAATGAAAGGTATCAAACTCAGAAGCATCTAAAAAGGACAATATTAAAAAAAAGTTAAATGTTGTATCTAATGCAGTATATTTCACACAAAGCAAACAGAGAAACACAATCTTAGACATGCAATTCATCCGCCTACCTGGCAAGTGGGGCAGAATACTTCAAGGATGTCACCCAAGTCAGGTATTAAACCCAATGCTTTGATCACAGATGATTTAAAGCACACCGTTAAACTTACATTTTAAATTAAGGAGTCGGACAATCCCGCCCCCTAAAGATTTTTCACATAACTGAGTTGCTAGTGGGACTCTCAGTACCTTAAGAATCTTTAAAAAATAAGTGAGTGGAGCTGTGTTCTGCTTCATGACCACTGATCCCACAGCCATAGGGGAATCACTGACTGTAGTAAAACTGCATCAATAGATTCTTAATGAAGCAGAGTATGGATCCACTCAGGAAATACCAGCAATAGTAAAAAAAATAGAATTTTAGGTATACATTTCTTTGCTTTTCTTTGGATCGCTTGGATTAACCTTTACCATTTGCCAAGGGGTTCTTATCCAGCTAAATAGTGTAGCAGCCTTAAACAGGCCACTGAAGAACAATAATGCAACAAAACTACACACAGAGGGCACACAGCTCCATATCCTGTGGCACTGACCCAGTTCACTTTGTTCTGGAATGTAATCTTCCATTCTATCTGCAGCGTATCTGGAGAATGTATCAGAGCAGATTCAAATAGCTTATTGTCTGAAACTGCAGTATCTGGACTCCCTCACCAGAGAACATCAATTTGCATGTATACAACCACCTTTCACATAGGGACGCCTCAAAGTGCTTTACAAAGCCTGAGCTATAAAGGCGATTGTGACGGGGCCTGGGGGCGGGGAGATAAATAAGAGGGGGCTGAAAGCACAGTCAAAGAGATAGGTAATTAGATGGGTTTGGAAACCAGAAAGGAAGGGGGCAAAGACAATGGGATTTAGGAAGAGTTCCAGAGTGTTGGGGGGGAAGTGGCTGAAAGTTCACCCTCCGATGGTGGAGTGAAGGAGAGGAGAGTATGAAGCAGACCACAGTTGAGTGGCCGGGAGAGTAGGTCACCTTGGGACGTCCTCCTGATGTGAAAGACGCTATATGAATGTTATTTGTTATTATTTGTTATGTCTCTGGATATCACAGAACTAGGGTGGGGCAAAGCTTTGGAGGCATTTAACGGTAAGGTAAGGAGGATGATCTGCGAGTGTTGATGGGTCCGCGAACCCAAGTGTGAGAGATAATGTGGGCTACTGAGGTTTGGGTGATCTGGAGCTTGTTGATGGAAGGAAATGGACTTAATGAACAATTTAAAAGAGAACTGTGGGTTGAACATGATGCCAAGTCTCTGCACAGTCTCCACAAGTTGGAATAAGCAACAGGGGAGGTCGATAGAGTCACCATTGCTAATCACCATTGTTGGAAACAAAATGGCTGTATCACAGAAATCTGGAACACTAGCAGTCAACAAGCAATAGGAATTTATGTGTCAGAATGAATTTGGAATATGTAGTACATGAGTGTTTAAATCATGTCTGTTCAGGATTGCTTTTCTCATTAAATCATTCGTTTCAGAGGAAAGTGACCTCTTGTGCAGATTGATGGGAGAAGAAAGGTAAAGCGTGAAGGATGTCTCTGTGGGGACTGGAGGAAAATGGATTGTGGGAGCAGTAAATGTGGAAAGCTTGGTAAGAACATTCTCTGGCTCGAAATAGGCACATATTTCGTTGTAGGAACTGCAGCACAATTACTTCTTATAAAGGAAGGTTGTGGGGTGTATTATTTTGGCACACAAGTTACCTTTCACTCACCAGTTCCTAATGGCTCACATTTCTTCAGATTTAGCTTTGGGAAACTACATAGAAACTATAATTGAAACTCTGAATGTTTAAGGAGTGCATAGGTGATTTTAAATTTAAATCTAAAGAGCTAATGTAACTGGGTGTGCTTATCACCTTAGACGTATTCGATTTTTAAAACTGAAGAGCATTTGATTAGTGTTGTCACACAACAGTTTTCTGATACTTAGTATAAAACGGATTTGGTTTATAAATATTTATATCATGGCTCCAACTTGTTTTCGTGAAGACAAAAATAAACAGCTTGCAGCAAAGGTTACACAACAGGAATCAAAGATTTCAGAAAACACAAAAACACTGAGTTAGTTCAGCTGATGTCAAGAGCTTTTCCTTTATAATCTGGATACACGTCAGCAATGCCTGGTTTATGCTATTACAAAGTAGTTCTATAGTTTGGGTAAGATAAAAAGCGCTTGAGATGGATTGCATTCTGATAACATTCTAATAATAATAATATTAATAATAACTTTCATTTATATAACACCTTTCACACTATAAATAGTTAACCTCATTCAGCAGCACCCTGTTAATTGGCTTGGTATTGCTGTCATAACCTCTACAGGCTTTTGTTACTAATACGCTACATTAATTTTGTTGGAAAACCTTCCACACAAATGCAGATAGATAGATTTTTATGAAGAATTTGGAAAGCAGAAGTATATACTGTATTCAGTTTATATAGAAAAAATTATCTAGCCACATATCTACAACTGATACTCAGCATAAAGACTACTTCTTACTTTAGTGTCTTTTTGCGTAAGTGTCAGCTTCAGTGTCAGTATGCACCCTTTGATGTAGGTCAACTGCATGCTGACAGCTTGCTCAGCTGGCAGACTGGTAAGAAATGCTTTGTTGCAATTTGTGGTTAACCACCAAATAATGGCCTTGATTGATTGTTCACAGACTGAACAGAATTGGATAGGGTATAAGGTAATAATGTTGTCATTTGTGTGAGGTTCAATTGGTAAACCATACCACATACAGTATCTAGTTCCGCAAGTTCCCTCAAACACGAAGGAATGAGCACAGATTTTTGCTTTCAGAATCATTGCGGACGTCACTTATTCCTTGTGGCATAAATATTTCTGATAAAGTTCAGTTTTAATTTTTTTTAAATGCTCTTTTGAGTTATTATTTAGAGAAGTTGCATTACTTTTAATTTTCAGGGCAGTGCTACTTTATATTTAACTCTAGTGATATTCTGCAGGATTGGAGATAATGTATTAAATGCAAAAAGAATGACAGATCTGAGCAATTACATGGCCACCAGCCTATCGCATATTTCTGGTAAAATAACTTCTAAATGTAGGATGAAGGTGTGGGTTTATGGCAGTAATTTAGTAAGAAACAGAAGGGAACAATCTAGTTTGACAAATCTCCATGACTTCTTCAAGAATATCATAGCCAATGTGGATGGTTAGTCTCCCAAGGATAGAATTGGACTGTTTCAGAAGCTTATAGTAAATTACTATTTGATAACAATATTTGCACTTCTTATAGTTCCTTATTGCCTTGAAAAGTCAAATGCAGAAGCTAATCTATACCAGAAATATCCCACAAACAGCAATGATTTAATTTAATTTGCTTTCAGTAAATGTTGGGTGAGAATTTAATATTGGTTAGAACACAAAGAGAATTCCCTGCTTGTCTTAGTACCTTTAACCTCCATTTGCTCTACTAGAACAGGAAGATAGGATCTCAGCCTGTTCAGTGGTATCACTCTTGCTCTGAGCCAGAAGGTTATGGGTTTAAGCCCCACATTGGGACTTGGAAACACTTTGTCTAAGATGACACTCCAATGCAGCACTGGGGTGGGTTGCATTGTCGGAGGTGTCGTCCTTTGCACGAGATGTTAAACCAAGGTCCCGTCTGCCTATCCAGGTGGACATTAAAGATCCCGTGGCAATATTTGAAAAGAGAAGGGAGTTTCTCCTGGTGTCGTGACAACAAACCCCCAATAAAATTGATCACTCACTCCATGGCTCGTTGTGAGACACAGCTGTGCACACTTGGCTGCTGCAATAGTTTTTTTTTTAAAAAAATCCACAAAATAGACAGTCTCGTCTAAAAGCACTTCCAACACTTCAGCTCCAACGCAGCACTTTCTCAGTAATGCACTTCACTGGAGTATCAAGTAGATTATAAACTCAGGCCTTGAAACTTAAAACACCCAACCTGTTGAGG